CGGGGCCGGGGGCGGCGCCCGCTGCCCCGGCGGTGTCCCAGGCCGGCCGGACTGCAAGGTGCGGTGGGCGCAGACAGTGTGAGCGTCTGTGTGGGGGCGTTCGGAGCCTGCCCGCCAAGTGACCACGGCTGGGCCATGGGGACCGCGCTCGTGTACCACGAGGACATGACCGTGCCCAGACTGCTCTGGGACGAGTGAGTGCCACTGAGTGCCACCTCGGGGCGTGGAGTGGGGCGGGGGTCCCGGCTCTGGATTCTGAGCGCTGTCAGTTCAGCCCCGAGTGTGAAATCGAGTGCCCTGAGCGCCTGACCACAGCCCTGGAGAGCCTGCGACAACGTGGCCTGGAGCAGAGGTGCCTGCGGCTGGTGGCCAGGGAGGCCTCTGAGGAGGAGCTGGGCCTGGTGCACAGGTGGGACCCCACGGTCGCGCGGCCGCAGAGCCCCCAGCCCCACCGCGCCCCGCCAACCTCCCCGTGCGGTGGGTGAGGGAGCAAGAAGTTGAGCGCGCCCACAGGTGACCCTGCCTGCCCGCCACCCCTCTGCAGCCCTGAGTATGTGGCCCTGTTGCGGGGGACCCAGTCCTTGGACACGGACGCGCTCCGAGAGCTGTCGGCACAGTACGACGCCGTCTACTTCCACCCGGTGGGTGCCCACGCCGCGCCCCGTGCCCGCTGCCTCTGCTGCCCCCTGGTCTGGCTCCCTGCCCAGTGCGCCCTGCGGCCGCGCGCCGCGCGGAGAGCCCGGAGCTCGCTGGCAGGCTCAGGTGTGACCTCTCCCTGCAGAGCACCTTCCACTGTGCGCGGCTGGCCGCGGGGGCGGCCCTGCAGCTGGTGGACGCGGTGCTGACCGGAGCTGTGCACAATGGGCTCGCCCTGGTGAGGTGAGAGCTGCCCCTCGGCCGCCCCACCGCGGACGCCCGCGGCACACGGAGTGAGTCCGCCCTGCACCCCTCTGCAGGCCTCCCGGGCACCACAGCCAGCGGGCGGCCGCCAGCGGATTCTGCGTGTTCAACAACGTGGCGGTGGCGGCCCAGTACGCGAAGCAGAAG